CGGGTTGACTCGCAGCAAGCAATGACAGATGCATTGATACGCTTATTAATGGCAACTTTGCGGTTCAGGTAGGCGTCCAGAAAGCCTCTACGTGGCGAACGTTGTAATAAAAACACTGTACGTAAGTCATTCAACTCACTTTTAAATGACTGGTATGGACTATTGTTTAATTTTCATTTCTACTAAAACTGGCTTATTTCGACAACTCATGGTTTCAGTTGACTGGCAAAGGCCCTGGGTTCCTCCGCAGTGGATCCTTGCTCAGCAGCAACCAGCTCCTTTACAGATTACCTAGCTCAACGCCTAGCACTTCAAGCTTTGGGTATCAGATGTCCTCAGCAGTCCAGAAAGGCCTCTTTACGTGCCACCGTCGTGAGTAAAAGGAAAGTACACAGCTTAGATGACTTAAAATGAACTGGTTGTGAATAGGACATTAGTATGGAAGAGGTGTAATCACCTGTACTAACATTTATTATATTCTATTTTGAACGGTTGTATAGGAAGGTTATTATTTCAAAATTTATTTATTCTGGCAGAACTAATGTTCTATTAATGCTTTAAAAATGTGTATTTTCTCTCACTAGTACTAAATATTTTTGGCTAAAGTTAATAAAACATCAATTGTGTGTGTATCTTTTTCCTGAATTTAGTCTACCTTCAACTATTTAGTTAATCCCCTCCCCATTTTTTTTTTCTCCATTGGTTATATACACTGAAAGGAGTATGTATGAGTATACTTGTCCTATATGTCTAAATAACTGACAGCCTCAAAGGTAAGGGTATTTAAAAAGTTATTAAAATCTTAATTTAAGTCGATACTGTATGACAGAAAATAAATTCTTTCACCTGATTCAGCCAAAAAAAAAATCATGATAGAAAATTATTAAAATTACTAATCCGATGTTTCCTAAACGAAAAATTTCAGTCTTGAGCACTTGATAACTGGCGATGAAATAATGAAGACTTAAGTATTCCCAAGAACACACAATTGCTCAGGTACAATCACATTTCTGCTCAACTTACTTTTTTCGTTTTTCTTCTTAAGGTGCTTCCACTACGTAGTATAGCACCACCAGCCTGAAGACAGTAGAAACAGTAGTTTTAACGTGATTAGTCCGTCAGCCTTGGTAAGTGGACTGACCGCCATCACCTGTACTGTCTCCAGTGTTTTCCTGTATTTAAATGAAGAAGCCTGTTGTGCAAGCGAAACGTTCTGGCAATAAAGATACCAAAGTGTTGCACATGTATCTTATTCATCAACGTGTCAGTACTGTATATCATCAATAACACGATATTATTTTACGAAACTGGGAATATGTTGACAGATACGGTCAGACATGACAGTATATCATGCCTACTCCAAACCATGACAATATATGACAATATATGCTAAGAGTTTACCTTGATTTCCATTTAATGACATTTGTAGTTGATAGCCTTTTAATTACCTCTTATATAATAGTCGACAGGAGTATAGCGTATCTCTATATTACTGACTGTAGTTAGGTTATTACTGTGTAGCGAAGCTTTGCTGTATAAACACGGGTGAAGTCTTGGCAACGGCAGACCAGCGAATGATTAACCACTTAACGAGTCATCACCTGCCAACGACCAGTGTAAAGAGACAATTGTCTTGACTCACGAAATCGTAATGACACGATTGCAAACAAACCATACCACGGGTGGGGTTTGAAACTGCGGTCAAGGAGTCTCAAAACTCCAGACCGTCGTGTTAGCCAATGGGCCAGCTACCTTCAATAAGGTTCGTCCAAGCTAGCTGGCCCAGTGGCTAACACGACGGTCTGGAGTTTTGAGACTCCCTGACCGCGGGTTCAAACCCCACCCGTGGTATTGTTTGGTTAGACAATTGTCTTGTTTCCTGACAAAAAAAAAAAAAAAAAAAATGACCACCGCCTGTACCCAATAATAATCCAATTATATTTCACTGTGT